ATATATATATATATATATATATATATATAAGTGTACTTACCATGGAATTTATACAAGCCACCGAGGTGGTCCAGTATGGTTTCCAAAGACTTGGTGACTGGAGGCAATTCCAAGAATCGATGTATAACAATGTCAAACACCTGAAATTTAGTCAAGTTGATGAGTAAATCTATGCAGAGGAACAGGTTGATGAAATTATCATCAGATTCAGACTTGGTTCACAAATTCTGTATTAGTCATGCAGATGTATTCAGGTTTCAGTTTGTTGCTATGGTAATGTATCAGTGTCACAATGGGAGGAGGGGTGATTTTATGACCATTCATTTTCAACAATAAATTCCAGTATTATTAGTAAATTGTTCATTACTTCTGCAGAATGGCAATTTGAAGCATATCACTATGTGAGAAATCCTCGTTTCTATGGGAATGAGTCTGGTTAAAACACCCTTATTTTCCAGAACTGTAGGAACTTAAATGACAAGTTTGAGTTTTCTGACTGTTATGTTACTGCAAGTGTGCAAGTATGGTATCTACAAGAGAAAAGTCAATGAGTCAAAAAGTCACGAGTTTGTGGCAGTTTTTCATAAGTTTGATTTATTCAGATAGTTTCCCCTCAAAGATGTCTTGATGCCACAAATTCATGAAGAATGAATACCTTTTTCCTATTTTACTAACTTTCAAAAACAACCTGGATGTCAACAATGCAAACTCAACAAAAACAGAAGCAGAACACTAAAAATGATATCTATATATAGCATATCTCATGAGTGACCCTTTAATATTACGGTAGATAATTAAACAAGTGTAGTAATTTTCATTTGTTTCCCAGCCTTAAGAAACAAATTTGATATCTTGTTTATGTCATGTATCTATCTCACAGTTTTAAATCCAACTAGAAGACATCATAGAGCATTCTGCCTCATTTGCATATTGATCGTCATTCATGGACACTGATATCATTAATTCACCCTAGTGTGATTAAAAAATATAATTATTTTTGCAGCTATATGATTCATAGGTGCATTGGAAACATAATTACTAATTCTATTCAAACCATAGCATGAAAAATTGCCACTATAGACATGTATGAAACAAAAATTCTGTGTGCAGAGAAATTGAGGTTGGGAGAATCTGAAGTGTTACAAATATATGTGGCTTCATATCACACGTATGTTTTACCAAGCGTCTCAAACTATCAGAAATATTCAAACTTGTATAATTCTTAATCAATCAAGAATTTTGGATAAAACAAAAATCATGAGATATTTTGTGATACTCAGTCATGATGTCAATGTTTCAATCTGTATGCATGGACCAATCAAATTGCCAGAAATGTTATTAAGTAGTATGGATATAGAAAAAATGATAACCCGGCACTGTCATGATATATGGAATAACACTTCATATTATCGTAATAACAGTACTTCCGGGCCTTGGCACCAAAGTACACAGACAACAAATAGTACTGTGATATTACCACATATTCTTGATGACAGGAAGTTGTGACCTCATTTGCTTGAAAGATTACATTGCATGCCTAGCAACTAAAAAATTCAATACTTGACTAGAAATTGTAAAAACTATCGGATTATCTAGTTGGGACGAGGAAGTTATTTCCATGAAGCAATGACTTTGTGAAATTGTTTATTGCCAATAAAAACACATTCTAATAAATACTGTAAAGGGATTTATTATTCATTGGGTTTTAATTTTGCTTATTTCACTGACTGGAAAATGCGCTATAAATTAAAACCCAGCGAATATGTAAAATTTAGCATAGAACACATTATCTAAATGATAAAACCGTGAATATGCCTGAAATGGTAAATCAGCGAAATTTAAACCCAGTGAAAATTAGTCATTTTACAGTAGTTTACTTACCGGTAAGAAGCGGAGACATACATTACCAAAATATATTGGTAAGTACTGGTGGGATGACTGACTACCCATCCCACAGAACTCCTGCAGTCCCTCAAAATAAAATTTCTCAGGAAATTTCTGAAAACAATAAAATATCAAAATGTCAAACTGACTTAGTGGTGTAGGGGCAGAAGAGGAGGTTGGAAGAAGTACAGTCACATACATATACATGTACGCTATCAGTTATTTTAACATGTACTGTTCATATTTGGAGTATACCTTGCACTACTATATAGAGCATTCAACCAAAGTGTATTAAACATTGGCGCTGAAAATTAATAAGTTCACTCAGATGAAAAACTAAAATATAGCATTTTATACCAAGAATGCATTATGTTTTAATCATTTTTCACAAAAAACTCAATAAGGCATGACTCATTGTAGATTGGAAACATGTTGTAAATCATTAATTTTAGCTAAAAGTGTTTGCTATTTTATAATTTGAAGTCACAGTGACTACGGTATGTTTAAAGGATATTTCTGAGAATTACCCTCATGCATTTGGTGGTTCATTTTTGACATACGATTTAATTGACAAGCACACCATCTTGGATTTACCAAGAGCGGTCAATGTGATTTTTCGCAAATATTATTTTGTGTACATATTCAGGCTATAACAACTTTCTGAAAGTCACTGTGAGTGTGTCTGTGTTCTACAGCGATTTCCAGAATTATTCATACAAGACGGTTTGCAACTTTCTGAAAGTCACTGTGAGTGTGTCTGTGTTGTACAATGATTTCCAGAAATATTCATACAAGACGGTTTGCAACTTTCTGAAAGTCACTGTGAGTGTGTCTGTGTTCTACAGTGATTTCCAGAATTATTCATACAAGACGGTTTGCAACTTTCTGAAAGTCACTGTGAGTGTGTCTGTGTTCTACAATGATTTCCAGAATTATTCATACAAGACGGTTTGCAACTTTCTGAAACAGTGTTTGCTTTGATCTAGCCTTGACAGCACAATTTGATTACATGATGATTTACAAATATGATTTTGTGTAGGTATTCAGGCTTTAAAACAAAAATGTCATCTCTGTGACAAATGAAATTATTCGTTTATTTATTTTCAGAAAGTTGACATTCCAAGTTTTACTCATCACTACAAGAATACCCACTGCAAGTATCCACAGACAGAAAATAACAGCAAGCATTATACGCTGCATTAAACTTTGATAGAAAAAAACAAATATTTTAAACATATAACAAATAACTTGTTGATGAATTGTAATACCGTACTTATCCGGGTAAGGGCCCATGCCTGGACAAATGCCCAACCCCCACTTTTGACACAATAAAGAAGTTGCGGTCATATCCGGGCACACGCCCAGGGAGTTTTTTCTACACAAAACAAAAAAACTATTTTCTATTCGTTGACTGTGGTTGTATTAACAGTTGACTTTCTTGGAGTCTGTCGTGATACTTATAAAAATTGTTAATTGCGTAAAACAAGGAGTGAACGCAAAATAGCTGTGACAGCTTTCTGCCTTCAGGGCAGCGCGTTCACCGCTGATTTTTTTCAGAATCATAACAGTCAGCAAGTCTATAAAAACAAGTCATTGAAAATGACACAGTCCCCGTTAAGTTCTCTTCGTGCTCGTCATATTAAAGCGGAGGGGTTGTCGCGAGTGTGTCCTTGAAACTCGAGTTCCAAGTGGCATATACAACAGATTGTTTATTTACATCAAAACACGTGTTCCATGTAGTAGTAATATGGCCAAAATAAAAACAGCCATTATTCGGCCATCTTTGATCTGATTATGAAACACACTGATATGTATGATGTATGTGCCAAATATGAATGAAAATGGTACATAAATTGTGGAAATATAGTAGTAAGGCCGAAAAAGTCAGATGGCTGTCAATCTGCCATCCTTGACCAGATTTTGAAACAAATTGTCATGGACATGCATCCTAACATGTATAAAGTACATGTATGTGCCAAATTTGAATGAAAACTGACAGAGCACGTCCAAGATACCGCATAAAAAAACAAAAACAAGATTCCTGCCAGTCGACCATCTTTGATCGAATTGCGAAATAAATCGTCATGGACATGTATAATCTATGTACCAAGTTTGAATGACAACTGACAAAGCATGTCCAAAAAACAACATTTTCAAAAAACAAGATGGCTGCCAGTCGGCTATTTTGAATCGAATTGCTAAACCACTGCATGTGCATTATGTCCCACATAAGGTACTAGGCACATGCAAAGAATGAACGGAATCAGGTCCACACGGATTCTGAAATATGACGATTGGACAGACTGACAGATGGACACACGAACGGACAGACTCAGGAACTCACGGACGGTCGGGGACATGTATCCTAACATGTATGATCTATATACTAAGATTGAATGAAAACTGAAAACACATGTCCAAAATACGACATTTTCAAAAAACAAGATGGCTGCCAGTCGGC